TCACTAAAATATTATATGGTTATTGTGATTCTTATATAATCAGAAATGATTATTGGATAACGAAATTAGTTTTCTCCCTAACTATATTATTAAAGGGAAGCTGTTGGAATGTAGTTTACACTATACCGTTCACTTAAACTATACTTTTTAAACACTTTCGGGTCATTCTAAACAACATATAAAAAATTAAAATTGACGAGCCGATTGTAAATAAACCCCTCTCCATTTATCGGACTATTATACGCATGTAATAACTTCATAATTGACTATGTAAATTCATCCTGGCCTATGAGAATTTTACGCTTAGTAATGAATACTATTTGAGTCAACACTCTCTGAACTTTTGAAAACTCCCTGTAAACGTTGATTTTCCCAGGTGTCTTCAAAAATGGTACGAAAACAAACATCGCTGGTAGCAAAATTCTTACGAGTGTAAATATACACATCATATTTATACACAAACACACGCCCAGGTTGACTATTGAAGGTCATCAGGTAACATTCCTCACGTCTACGACCGGCGCCCATCGATGATCGCGTTCGTAAAATTATTATTATTGAGCACTCGGCGTTGATTGGATTTCGGCTGGACTCAAATTTCCTTTTTTTTGTAATTTTCGACAGCTCAAGATTGATAGCATAGCACGTTGTAAGAACGGCAGCTGTTCAGAACAGATTTCGTTTGGGGTCCGTGCACCCAGGAAAATTAATTAATAGATAGTAAAANTATTGGTCAAGTTAAGAACCACGTTAAGAAACTTTTACACTCTAGTCAAAATACATGAGCCCAAATTGAAAGTTATTCCACCATGTGTGCTTATTACTACTACTGTATTACTGCTGAATTATGTTTTTTTTAATACACCCTGAACTATGTTTTTACTCTATATCTGACTTATGGTTTTTTTCAATTACTCTCCAAGCTTGCTACACACAAGTGTTCCACCTAATTTTTTGCTTAACTCTCATAAATGTTTACTTTACTTTGTTTTTTGTTTACTCGCTTCAGGTGTTTCTAATTGATAAATTAGTATTGTATTCATGTATATGTGTATATATGTTTGTATATATGTATGTGTATTGTGTGTATATAGGCAGATATAAACTGTAACATGCTTGTTAATAAAATTAATATGTCTTGTTATTGGGATTTATTCCTGTTTAGACATTAAAAAAAAAGTAAAAAACGTCTACAATAGTTGGATATTCACAGTAAAAATGAGTACATGTTCTCTTTCACGTTCAACGAAGTGTGGTGGTTTTTGATATTTAGTTTCGTAGAGTCTCTCATTTCATCTGAATCTCGCGTTTTGAAATATCGCCCGGTTTGACCAACAAATATTTGAGACAGCATAGAGCGTAGTTTTTGGACAGACATTTCCTTTTGGAAATCCTGCGTGGATTTCCAAAAGGGGGGCTTGAGTCCCCGAGAAAAGTGGGAGAACGGAAATGAGGGGACAAGTGAGTGGTACACCACTTCAAATAAACTGAAATAAATCTCACAACTTGATGAAAAATAAACTGGAGAATCTATTAGAGAAAAATTATGTGGTCAAAGCCACACAACTACAGATGAGGGCGTGGACAGTTTGTTATCAAGCTGGCGTGATAAGGAAACCTTTGGGAACTTGTGCTCCACACCAAAACAGATAACATTCTAAGTAATATTCAAAGCAAGATTTCTCAACTTTCAACAGACAACCAACCTTCTTTTTTTACTTTACTAGAAACTTGCATACAAATTCCGAAAATTTCCCGAAAAAATGTTTGAGGTAATAGAATCAAAGAAAATATATGAATGAATTTAAATCTATAAGAAACCTCGATTCATTATGAAATATTATAATTTATGAATTCCCACGTCTAAGTATGAAACACTAACATGTTTCCATTGTGTGTAATGTTGAGGCCAGTTCTAGGTTGAGAATGCAATCTTTTCTATAAAAAAATTGATTCGAACTTTGTCTTCTTCGTTGATATTGTTCATCAGGAAAGTATAATTTATTCGTGTGTACTTCTATAATTTTTGAAACTATCATTAACCAAATGTTAATAATAATTAAGTTGTTTTATACAGTTGCTCAATGAATTAGTGTTTATTTTCTCAAAACTAATTGAAGGAATTGACTGATACAAAGAAACTGCCTTTTTTGAGTGGAGTAAAAGGAAAGAAGAAATAGCCCAGTCAAGTTAGGATTTGACAAGGCAAACATTCTTACTGGCAATTTTCTTTTCGAATTCTGTTGTTGCGTCATTCGCCACCTTGAATTTAAGGGTATATTTTTATCAATTGAATAACTCGTTCATTTTCAATTTTACACGAAAAATCGTTGATGTGAAAGTTTTTTTAAAATTGGTTCTACTCAATTTTGTCCTAGGATCGATATTTTTCGATCTATACCGAAAAGAAAGAGTGATTTTTTTGTTGAACAACTCGTTTATTTTTNTATCAATTCTAATTTAGACTCGTCCAGCCAATGCTCCGTCATACATAGAAAATCTGGTACCACCTCATCATTTAGAATATCAATAAAGTCTGTTTTATTACTTAAACTTTGGACATTCACATGAATCAGCGAGAAAGTAACCAGGTTCAACTCAATGCCACAAAAACCCAGACATCGGTTTTCTTCAAGAAGATAAATATCTCCGAACAATCTGACAATCCTGCTTTCTGCTTCGATAAGTTTGTTGGTGTTTGAAATAGGCACCAATATGACTTGGCACAATCACGTCGCTGGAATTGCAAAGGTTGCTTCTCAAAAGCTTGGAACACTGTTCCGAACCAGAAAACTGTACCACCTCAGCAACTTTTGGTGCTTTACAAAGCTCAGATCAAACCTTCTTTGGAGTATTGTTCTCATGTATAAAGCTCTGCCCCCAAACACAGAAAAGAGCCATCCGCGTGATTTAATCTGTTCGTGTTCTTTCATTAGGTTGTGTAACGTTCTTGAGAGAGTCTACTAAATTGTTTTTTTTATATATAATGAGGTTATTTTTGTTTTTCAGGTGAGCGGGCGCCCTCCCTGAAGAGATGAGCGGGTCATGCGCGCCGGTCTGTGCACGGTGAGCGCCCCTTTGGCCGCCTGCAGAACGGCAGCAGTGCTCCCCCCATCAGCTCGATTTTTGGCCCTCCACCTGCTGAATCAACAAACTCTCTACTTCATAGTTCAAGCAAAATCCAGAGTGAGAGAGTTGTATCATCAGACATGTCGCCACTTCGCCCAGCTGGGCATGCTAGATACGAACCTGTTTGGACTGTCGCTTATTTGTGGTAAGACATTTTTGCTAATTGAAAATCACGAAACGTGGTTGATTTTTAGTTGAACAAAAAACATTTTTATAAATTTACAGCTGTTCAGAGACTTCAGAGACTTTAAATGATAGTGATAGGTAGCAACAGATGACTGTACGTAAATATCAGCTCAGAAATTGGTTTGGAAAAGTGAACTGCTGGAAAATATTTGAAGTGCGTGGTATCAGTTATTCCCAAAAATAATGCCGAAAAACAAACAGTAGTTGAAATTATATCAAGAACAAAAATATCAAGGGACTTACTTTTGATTCCTCGTTTTCGTCCGCGTGAAGAATGGCGTTGGAAAGATACCTTTCTGAGGAGTATATTCCGGACGCTCCATTGAAGGTAATTCTCGCTCTTGATGATGACATTCACTGAACACGCTTTTTTCCAAAAAGATAAATGTCTCCGAACCGGATATAACAGTGCCAGGACAGAAAATTTCCCTTTCTGCTTTGATAAGTTTGTTGGAGGTCAAAATGGACACCAATATGTCTTAGCACAATCATGTTGCAGGGATTACAAAGGCTGCTTCTCAAAAGCTTGGTACACTGTTCCGAACTAGAAAACTGAACGTACCTCAGCAACTTTCGATGCTGTAAAGAGCTCGGATCAGACCTTCTTTGGAGTATTGTTCTCATGTATGGAGCTGCGCCACCAAGCATACCCTGAAGCTGAAACCATACAGAAAAGAGCCGCCTGATTGGAGAAGCGGACATTACGTGCAACCTTGATACTCTGGAACATCGAAGAAAGGTTGGAGATTTGTCTCTCTTCTATAGATACTTTCACGGGAGGTTTTCAAGTGGCACATTTGATTCCACCAAGAGCGTTACAAACCAAAAATAAGCTCATTGTTTTGAGGTTCTACTTCAAACTTCACAGTTTGAGAACTTTTTCATTTGGATAACTGCGTTCATGTGGAATAAACTACCTGGGAACATTTCTCCAAATGAATTTAATCTCGTTCTAATCATCGTGATTTCTTTTGTTAAGTCAAAAAAAAAGCTTTCTACGACTAGATTGCCTAGTATTTCGAAGCAGGTGTCATTAGTGATAACTCATGGGTTCAAAGTCATACATCCTTTCAGTACATCCTTTCAGTTCAGTTATTTTAATTATACAGGGTGTTAATTAAGTATGTACTATAAATTCAACAGACGATTCTTTGGGTAATTTTAAGACGAAATGTTCATATAAACATGGGTCCGCAAATCCTTCGTTCTCAAGATACAGGGTGTTAAAATAAAAATAAAAAAAAGTTATTCGTAAATATTTTAAATATCCGTTATTTAATTTTGTTGTAATTCGGCAGTGGTATTCATAACATTAAGGAGCTAATTTAGCCCGAACGTGATTCAATTTATCCAGTGGCGTCTCGAGCATGATTTAATAATAATAATAATAATAATGAATTTATTCAGGCAAAGACATAACATAAACTGTTACAGGCACGAATAATATGTAAAACACATTGATACGATACATTGGTTACAATGATCCTAATTTATTTTGAACAAATTCAAGAAACCCACAAAGGAAATCCTGTGCGTGGGTATACATATCTTCTCAACTTTGATTTCTCATAATCGTTTCAAAATCGATGGATTGATGCTGTACCTACCTATGTAATTGAAATAAATATAAATATGTATATATAAATGATGTAGAAATATGTTAATANAAAATGTCACAAAAGTCAGTGGCGTACATTTTTAAGTCAAACTATTCGTTCAAATCTCACTCGAGACGCCACTGGACTTAATGAATTGAATCACGTTCGGGCTAAATTAACTCCTTAATGTTATAAATACCATTGCAAAATTGAAATAAAATTAGGTAAAGGATATTTAAGATATTTACGAATAACTTTTTTTTTATTTCAACACCGTGTATCTTGAGAACGAAGGATTTGCGGACCCATGTTCATATGAACATTTCGTCTTAAAATTACCTAAAGAATCGTCTGTTGAATTTATGGTACATACTTAATTAACACCCTGTATAAGAAGACTAGACAATCGAGCGAAATGTTATGTTCATTATTTCTCAACTCACACAGTCGATAGGGTATGATTTCATTCATTCTAGTACCTATATCACTTTTTCCTTTTTCATTCAGGTCTCCAATAATTTTTTGGCCTGATAGGTATTTCAGATCATTGATGAAAACTGATGAGTTGAGGCATTAAACAAAAAACGAAATTCTTCGGAGATAAAACAAAGATTTGCTGACGAACAATAATTCGAGCTTCATCAGATTGTCAAGGTTGTTTGGTGCATTATTTTTCTCCCTTTCACCTCTTGACGAACCACAATGGCTGAGACTATAAAAACCCATAATATTACGACGTTCCACCGGTGTTACACTTATTGTTCAGCCAAGCCATCTGGCTGGTCATAGTAAGGCCGTTTTAAAGGCTGGGTATTTCTCGAGATGGAGAAAATAGCTCTAGTTTGGAGCTTTACAGCGTTGTCAAACCACTCTTTAAAAATGTTCAGCTGTTAGATATCTATTATAGATCAAAACATGACATGATGAGCCTGTTGATATTGAAAATACGTATTTTTCTGCTTACATAGCAGGTATTACAAACAAATTTAGTTCATTTCAATAATTATCTGAAATATCTGCGTAGAAATATCTGGAAAAATCTCCATTATTTCCATAAGTATTACTTGATTCAATTGTTTAACCACTTTGTAAAAATCAACATTTCCCTGTTGTAAAAACTGGATTATAACCTCAATGTACATAATGCCCACCAGAAAAACACTTTTTGATTACATTTTCTATTGTAGCATGTGATGTTATAAAAGTTTATACTCATTTTCTATTATGTTCAAAATACGTCAACTTAATTTTTGCCAATCATCAATGAAAATGGAAGATCACAAGTCTCTGAACTTCCTAAATTTGAATATCTGCCGCCCAAACAACAAACACAATTTTTCAATATATCACTAAAACACACATACAGATATAACAATTCACAATCAATCTATGAACCTATACTCTCCGAAACTTTCAGCATACCTACAAATCCAGTCAAATTTTCAAATAGAATTGAAAAAAATCAAACAGATTGCCGTCAATAATGGATACAAAACTTTCATCATACACAAAATACTAAAACAAAACCGCAAAACTTTGAATGCCATGCCATGGAATCAAAGAAAATTCTAGTTTCCTTCAGAAACAAGGCAAAACGGAAGCATTAGACAAATAATAATTTGCATGCATTTATATATAACTCAAAAATAGGGCAGTAACACCAAAAAACGTGAAAAAAATTCACAAAATCGTTTTGAATTATCGATAAGTGGAGTTGCGTGGGTTAGCTGGCATTGTAAAGTTATCTAGAGAACGTGTTGGTTCAATACCTCATGAGTATTTGACTATGAGAAAGCTCTCTTCGAAGTGGGTGTCGCTCGAGCTCACTGTTGACCAACAACAAGAACGTCTTGATGATTCTGAGTATTGTTTGGCCCTGTTTGAACATAACATGCCGGAATTTTTGCATCGATATGTGACAGTGGATGAAATATGGGTCCATCACTTCAGCCCGGGATCAAAACGTTCGACATCTGAGTGTAGAGCAACTGCTGAACCTCATCCAAAGCGGCCGAAAGCACAACAATCGTCTCGAAAGGTTATGGCCTAGGTATTTTGCGATATGGGTGGTGTGATATTCATCGACTATCTTGAGAAGGGAAATACCATCAACAGTGGATTATATAGCGTTATTGGAGAGTTTAAAGGCCAAAATTGCACAGAAACGACCGCATATGGCAAAGAAAAAATTTTGTTTCATCAAGAAAACACACCGTGTCACAAATGAATCAAAATACTAGCAAAGCTACATGAATTGTAGCTTACAGAGACAGGCTTGTCTAGCCATCAGCTATGACCATTAGTCATCCCGAAAACATGTTTGGAAAACACCTGGTATACAGATGTATCGAAGACCAAACATGGAATGGGAGCTGGAATATACCGAGCGGATAGAAATCTAAATTACAGCTATCCGCTAGGACTATACACATCCGTCTTTCAGCAAAAGCGCACTAGGGGCTCTGACAAACCCGAAGGCGACATCAAAACTGGTCTGGGAATGCCATGAAGAACTGAATGAACTTGCAAACAGGAACAAATTAACTTTGTACTGGGTGCCAGGGCATTCAGGAATCACAGGTAATGATATAGCTGATGAATGCGGTAGACGCGGATCATCAACTTCATATATAGGGCCTGAACCAGCTCTGGGGGTACTAAAATCATTGGTATGAAACCAGATTAGGGCATGGACCAATAAGAAGCACACAGAGTACTGGACAAAAGTACTTGGCAACAAACACATTAGAACCTTCATTAGGGAACCGTCCGAGAAAAAAACTGAAGAACTGAAAATGGGGCTGTACAACGGAGACATCAGCTGCAGATTATGCAACGAAGAAACAGCTCTACACATCTTATGCGAATGTGAGGCACTGAATCACAGGAGGCAGGCTATATATGGACGTACAAAATTACGTCCAGAAGAATATGACGAACATCCAACACGGAACCTGTACAAACTAGTACAGGGAACGAGACTGATGGAATGGGTGTCATGAGAATATGGAAGAATAAACGCAATAAGCCCAAGAGGCTGCAGCGTTTTTTGGAGACTTGAACTAAATTGACAAGTCAGACAGCTCCCAAGGTATAAAAAAAAAGTCCTCTCCACATTTTTCTGGAGGCAGAGGCTAGATGGACTGTACACAGACTTGTGCACATTGCCAATTGCACAAATCAATTTAATGCGGAGTGTAACAGACTGTTGGTTGACACTGGAAGTCACAGCATTCTGGAAATGACCTCTGACTTTATGCCTTCAACTGTCAACTACGAACTGCCTTATAAAGTACTGTTCCCGAGAAGAGAGGACTGGATCCTCCTGGAGAAGGAACTATCAAGAGCAGATAGTTGTTGA